GCTGATGTTAATATTAATGCATTTATTCCTTAAAAGGGAAACAAAAATGTGAAAATGATAAATAGAATTCATCATTCGTATTTTTTTTAATATTATGTCCAATATTAAAAAAACCCACTTGCGATGAATCCTCTATATACCATTTAGTAATGTGAATGGACATATTGTTAATAGGCCTGTTGACTCACTATTCATGGATGCTATCAGATAAAGTTTATCTGCGACGATAGTTTAGATACAATTTAGTTGGCCTTCTGGTCCAAAACTCTCAAAGTCCAAGTGTCAAAAGTTAACTGCGTTTGTTTGACACAGACAGTGGGTTTAACGAGGTTTATACGTCATTAAGATATATGTTACGACAGGGCAGTTTAATGACGCATGTTAATAATTAGTAGTAACTGAAGATAAATGTCACTTTAGATTATGTAAGCTTTGTTCATAGGTATCTTCAGACTGATTTCAATATTGTTTTTTGTAATTGTTTGTTTTATCTCTCAACTCATGAGACATCTGTATAACACTCAGTATACATAATTATTGTTTAATACCACACACTATTGTGATAACTGCTTCTTTTATGGAAACTGTAAATATTCTGTATGACTTTGTACTTTATATATGAAAGTTAAACATAAGTGAGATTTCTTATTTTTAAATGTTAATTGATGACTGTCGAGATATCCCCAAATAATGAGTAAGTATGGTTTTACGCCGCTTTCAGCAAAATTCCATCAATATGACGGCGGGTGACACCGAAAAATGGGCTCCACACATTGTACCCTTGGTGGAAAGGCTAATTCTAGATATAATGACGGTTTGAAAGCAAAAGAATTCTAGATGACCAGGTACACCCCTTCAAATTACCGAGAGAAGCTGTGAACTCACAGTCATCTTCTTAACAGTATTCCAGTCATATCACGGCGTGTCAGCTTAATGTGTGAGGAAAGCCGAAAAAAGTGATCCAGGTCTCCGACGTTTACCACTTCGATGAAACCCACGTACACGTGTATGATGCTGACAAACCTAGAAACATAATCGGGGCGAACCGGGATTCGAACCCACAATCATAGGTTTCTGGCGTGCCCAAGGGACGGAACTCTGCTATGTTAAATGAGTTTATCCTAGATGCAAATAAGATCCCCCAACGAAACAATATTGCTCAATGCAAGTTTTCAGTGCAATAATATATACTTCTATATACAGCTTTACCACACTAGGAGACAGATTATCGTAAGCCGTCACGTGATTGGAGTTTCAGTTACGTTCTCGGGGAACAAAGGCACCTATGAACATATTGTTTCAGCTGGCAACATGGGGGAAAACGATACAATAAATGGACATGTTGTCGATACAGATTGTAGCATGCCTGTATATAGCAGTATTCTAAAATCTCTTCTGGAATACATGTATGTCTTTAAATATCGCATATTAATTGACATGGTAATTGGTTTTAAACCCGCAGCAGAGGGCACATTAAAATGACATTATCAGGAACAGTAAATGATTTTCTGAGCGTCCTGCAACACTAATCAACTTATCTCGAGCAGAGAGAACGATCAATGAACAAGCACATAATTTTCAGATTAGGACATACTTGTTCATTTAGAACACTGTCCAATCTGCATTAGATAGCATGTAAATATATATTGTTTCCAAATGGCTTGCTTCTTGACTTTGTGTGCTGGCGTTTAGGTGCCTCACTCTGACAGTGTGGGTTCGAATACTGGACATGACTCAACCCAAAAAGGTACGAGAATGTGTACTTTACTGAGAATAGTTATCCCAAACATAACATTTGTTACATTTGACCACTTTCTAAATGGCATTGTGTGTTCATAGCTTTCGGCAATGGGAGCCGTGCCTATTCACACTTGTCAGAGGGGTACACAAAGTATCTGATCTAGACTAACAGTTGTCGGACATTCATTTTGTTGAAACCTCATTGCCTGAGTGGGCTCGATCGTTGACTTTGTATGCTGGCGATTGGGTGCCTTACTCTGGCAGTGTTGGTTGGAATCCCGGACAGCACTCAACCCTAAGAAAGTACTAGAATCTGTACTTTACTAAGAAAGTGTTATTCCAAATATAACATTTGTTACATTTGACCAATCTCTAAATGGCACTGTGTGTTCAGAATTATTATGGTATATGATCAAGCCAACTCAAACCTAAACCTAAATCAAAATGCTAAAGTCGCTTGGAAACAGTTTCCAAGAAACGAAATAGAGAGACTTTCAAAAGGGAGTGTGCCTTATCACTTATCGTAAATATGAACATATTCGTGAGCTAATATACTCAACAACAAAAGTTCCTGTGACACCAATAAAACACTGGTTGGTGATAGTTACATCGATTATAACAGGAATTACAGGAATCATTTTACGGTACTTTAACCTCTCGGACAGAGCCTTTAATAATGTCAGTTGGCAATGCTGTTAGGAATGCTTTGGCCTCAGCAGTGAAGATTTAACTATTGTCTGGGATTCTTACGCAGACAGATCTGGATCCAATGATGGTGGCACTTGCAATTTTGCCACCATCACTGGACCCGTCTGTAAAAATGGAGAATTGTATTTTGTTCGTAAATGGTTATATGATGTTGATAGTGAGTGAGTGAGTTAATATTTAACGTAAATATCGGCAACATTTCAACCATATCGTTTTACATAAGTTTTACATTTTAATGCATATATTTAGACGAAATGAAAACCTGTCATCGATGGACAGTAAAATAACTAGAATATCACAGATTAATATTTTAAACTGGTAAACAACCATAAAAAAGGTTCCACTATATGGAACAATATAATATAAAAACGGGCTATAGATCGCCAGCAACTGAAGGTAGATCACCAAACTAAGCACCATGGGGAACACCTATTCTACGATTAAAACCGTGGCAGTAATAAATATACTGTGGTCTTATACGTGGTCTTACGAACCATCTCCGGGGGACAATTTACACTACTTCAACCCCTTTCGAGGGTGAGCTACTAACAACCTTAGTTATCCAATATATTCTACCAATATTGAAAGAAAACTTATTAAAAACAAAACACATGTATCAAAATTTATACTCAACAACAAATATTGTGACACCAATATTTTCGTTTATTTTTCAAACAAGTAAAGTTTGGTTTTCAATATTGTAGTACATGTATGGAATCAAGTCACAAAAACGCAACTGCTACAGAAAAGCATGCATTCCATGCAAAAGTTGACTTTAAAAAGCCCCATGCATTTCACTACCCAAGAACGGGTATAACAACATGTGCGGTAACGGGATTCCATATGCATTGTTAAGCATCGTGCTGACAAGAACCACTCAGAAAAACAACAAAATTACGCAATTATTCAACATTCAGAAATGCCACGCCTGTCCGAAAATAAGCGTCTGCGAGCCATTGGTATGCTTGACGAAGGATCGAGTCAATGTGATGTTGCAAGACAATTCAACATCCACAGAAACACCATTTGGTGTTTATGGCAACGTTGGCAATAGACTAATGCAGTCTGAGACCATCCTCGGAGTGGCAGGCCACGCGTAACCAATAATCGACAAAACAACTGGATTCGAACAACACACCTACGAATTCGATTTTCCAGCCAGCAACAGTGACTGCAAGAAGCATCCCTGGCCTTCGACGAATATCTTCACAAACCGTACGTCGTCGCCTCAGATGTGCAGGGATTGTCGCCAGAAGACCAGCCAGACGTCTCATTTTGACAGGAAACCACCGTCAAGCACGTCTACAGTGGTGCAGACAGCGTCTACGCTGGACGGCCAAGCAGTGGGGACAAGTTCTATTCACTGACGAGCCTCGTTTTCACCTCAGCCACAGCGATGGACGGATTCGAGTCTACCGACGTCGAGGTGAACGTTACGTCAATCATTGTGTCACGGAAGAAGATCGTTTCGGGGGCGGCAGCGTTATGGTATGGAGTGGGATTACGGCAAGACAGAGGACACGTTTGATAGTGGTAGAGGGAAATCTCAATAGACAGTGTTACCGCGACGAGATCGTCGGCCCTGTTGTTCTACCGTTTTTGCGTCGTCATGGCCCTGGCATTACCTTTCAACATGACAACGCCCGGCCTCATATTGCTTGACTTGTTCAGGATTCTCTTCAACAAAACAATGTGAATGTCATCCCCTTGCCGGCTCGCTCCCCTGATCTCTCACCAATCGAGCACATGAGGGATGAGATGGATCGGCGCCTTCGACGTCAACCCCGTGTTCCACAGACACTCCAGGAACTACGAAACATGCTCCAGCAGATATGGACAGATATCCCACAGGACTTTGTGCGACGCCTGGTCCATTCCATGAAACGAAGATGTGTTGCTTGTATCGCAACCAGAGGTGGACACACGATATTGATTTGTAAATTGACATTTTGGCATGTTCATGGTTTTTTTATGAAATCACTCATTTTCTGATGTCAGTATGGCAAATTAAACCATTGTTACACTTACAAGGAGTCTTTTATCTGTTGCAAACCGAAATTGTTTCAGATTTGGTAAAAAAACATAACTTTGCATTAAATCTTATTCAATGTCACAGGATTTTTTTTTGTTCAGTATAGATGAAAAAATAGATGACACATAGTCGTATTGCTGAACAAGTCTGATCATAAGTATGTGACTAACCAAGGATATGTCAAAAGTATTGAGAATCCTAGTAGAAAGTATTTTAGTCATGACGTTCATTGGCATTGTGCCCAGCCACCATAACCTATTTAAACAAGACCTATCATAGACATAAACTGCCATCTGTTGAGTTCAGCCTGGCCCAGGTCACATGGCAATCGAACATCATACATCAATTGAGATTGTTGTTGTTTATAATTGATAAAATATAAGACCTCCCGTGTATATTACAACTACACTTATTATTGTTTTGCGAGTGATCGTGACAACTCTTTTTCTCAAGTTGACAGATTGCACAGGTGTACGACAAGCCCATAAAGATAAAGGTCTGGATATAAGTACTTCTACATTTGGAACACTGTCCAAGCAGCGTTAGATAGTATGTTGTATCCTTGCCTGGCTGTGTTGCCGTTGCTCGTGTTGTCGGTGCGATGTGCGTTACTGACAAATTTGGGGCGTTTCCATGCAGCTCATGCAGGCTTTATACAAGTAGAAGAGGATTCGCATGCTGTCAATGTTCTTGACCGCTACAACTTGTTCATAGCAGCCTTTAACCCATTTCCTTTCACAACAGACCACGTGTACGAGGTAGCTGCAATTGGACGCAAGTTAGCAAACATCAATCGCACGCAAATTCTTGATGTTTCACACAGAATCACCTGGCCAAACGAAATCAGTCAGGTTCCAGGTAGGCATTGCAACAGCGGTGACAGAACATACAGAAGCCTATATAAGACACTTATGGTCGAATGTGTACGTCCTTGGTATTCATGAGCGGTAGGGAGTGGTCTGCTATGATTACATGTACTGACCTCATATGCTTGAGTCAGGGAACACATAGTGGCTTTGAAGGTATACTCTAACTGGTTTCATAGTAATCATTGTTTTGAAACTCGGAAATTTGACACAGAAAAGACCATCAGTGCATCATGACATTTGTAAGAGCCAACTAAATTCGTGTGGTCAGGTACTGTGACAGGGTCGATTGTGTGTCATCGTACCGGTTGCGTAGACCGCTAATGATGTGTTTAAAGGTTGTTGACTCTTATGGCATGTATTTTTACACGTTATCTCATTGACATTGTCCTTGCAATGACAATGTTATTACCAGCATATACATAACCATAAATACTCATTATAGAGTGTTGTTATGAAAAGGAAAAGGTCAAGATTAGTAAAGGGTAAATGCTACAATTCAAGTTATGATACTTATGGTTGTATTTGCTTACATTTTAAACTGTCCGTTGTGTTCGCGACTAATCCTTACCGTCAAACACATGGTTGCAGCAGTACGGCTGACGAGTGACATATGGAATTCAATATTATTTTTAGTTCCCTGAAAATTACGGTGATCTGAATGTCATATCATGAACATGTCCGTTCAGATGCAGTGTTCCACAAGGAGCTTGTAGCCGCAGCAGGAGGTTTCCTGGTACCCCTCAAGGCTCATGGAACTATTGGATTGTTTGATCTGTCTGTGTCTCCTCCTCGTGGTCCTTACACCATCACTAACAATGCTGACAGCGCCTGGTTCTACCACAGAGTAGACTGGAAAGACATGAACGGGGACGGGCGAATTGATGCTGTGTCATGCAGAGCCAAGAAGCCTCTAATTGGTGAGTAATGACACGCACACAAACAAGCACAATAGCAAAATAAAATTAACAGTAATTTTAGACACACGATAAGAAGAGGAACTTCTGCCATACTGTGCATTCGATACTACCAACAAAAGATAAGTGAACTCATGAAATGATCGTGAAAGTGTAATGACAATAAGTGTTTGTAAAATTAATTCTGGGTGGGCATGTTGGTCAATATCTGATGTGTCCACCATGTAGATCGGTGGATGCACGGCACCTTGGTGACATACTGTTGATTATTGCTGGACTCACACTATGACAATAGTGAAAGGAGATATACTCTTGCGTAATAGTGACCAATATGTGTGAATGGCTAGAGAAGCTGTAGCAGCGAGACCATAATTATTACACAATTACACTGTGAACTAGGAGACGAGGTGAGCATACCGAGCGAATGAATTCGACCTTACTTTATTGCAACCTGGATGTCTTGTTATTGGTTTTCCGCTGTGTAAGGGGACAACCTTTTTTTTTTGGTTGTATACCAATTTAAAATATTACTCTGTGATATTCTAGTTATTTTACTGTCCATCGATGACAGGTTTTTATTTCGTCTAAATATATGCATTAAAATGTAAAACTTATGTAAAACGATATGGTTGAAATGTTGCCGATATTTACGTTAAATATTAACTCACTCACTCACTATCAACATCATATAACCATTTACGAACAAAATACAATTCTCCATTTTTACAGACGGGTCCAGTGATGGTGGCAAAATTGCAAGTGCCACCATCATTGGATACAGAACTGTCTGCGTAAGAATCCCAGACAATAGTTAAATCTTCACTGCTGAGGCCAAAGCATTCCTAACAGCTTTGCCAACTGACATTATTAAAGGCTCTGTCCGAGAGGTTAAAGTACCGTAAAATGATTCCTGTAATTCCTGTCATAATCGATGTAACTATCACCAACCAGTGTTTTAAGCCAACTCATTGCTGAGTATTTTTAATATTAGCTAGTATTGTGCACAACCATTAGTAGCTAGCTAAAGTGATGAACTGAATCATGGGGGTCTCGTGCAGGAAGCTGAGGTACCGTATGTCCCCATCATCCCAAGCGTGGTGGCCTAGCTTTGGTTACGCGGGGCCTATTGCCCGTGTTTTTAACTGTATCATTGATATTGTTATGTGAATGTTATGTTTGATAAAATTTGTTTTTAAATATAACTCACACACTCATGACTCAACTTGGTCTCGTCGCTATATGGCTGAAATAATGCCTGATGCGAGGTTAAATTTTAACTCGCCCCACTCTCTGAACAAAATAAGATTGTGAGTGTGTGACAATACATGTAAATACCAATACAGTTACAAACCTTACAAACCCATCAGTAGAGCATCTAGATCCTGGAATATAAACAACGGTAAGTTATACATTATGAAAAATATTGAAAATGTGTTTGGAAATATCGATCCAAAGGAAATGGTCATGTATGCATATACCACCATAAACCACCAAAACGTATTAGTATTGCCTTACGGGACAGCAGGGTGTTTAATTGTTTGCTGAAGACCCGGGTTCGGGTCCCCACATGGGTATAATGTGTGACGCCAACTTGTGGTGTATCTGCCTTGATATTTGTGGAATGTGGCTAAACGTACCCTAAAATCATACATACTCAATCACTCTTTATTGCTTTACGCCTGTGTTCAATAAAAAGGTTCTAGTCAATATATAGGTCGTTGTTGTTTCTTTGATACCAGCAAGTTTTTCTTTTCTAAGATAAGTTTGTTCAAGTAGTTATGATCGGCATTCACCTCCTTCAGAATATTTGTAATATATCGGACTTAGTTTGCTTGAAGAATTATAGGTATTTATCTTTCAAATTAATGATTTATCTTTTTTACATAAAGAAAATAAGATATCAGAACGTGTTTTCAAATTGTCAGTAAAATGCAAACAAAAGAGAGAACAGTTTGCGAATTAGAAAGACAATTCGTTGTTGTTTCGTGTCACACATTATGATCAAAGATCACGAAATACAAGATGCTCACTAAAATTTGTTCATTTTTTCAAAACATGTTGTTTACCTAACTGGAATAGATTCTGGTTAAGATTAGTCATTGCTCATGGTCACGCGGAAGTTGCTGTCAGTTTTGAATTTAATGCATCTAAGATACATCGGACTGTAATACGTCGACACTTTATATGGCTATATCAACGGGTTCTGAAAATGAAACTTTACCTTTTGTGTACGCTTTCTCAGTTGTTTGACTTCCAACTCTGGTGGACAGTCAGATGAAGATACTGATTTATCTTGGCATTGTTGAAAGAAATGAAGTCATCTATAGCCACGTACCATCTGAAGCACATGCACCACATGTGGTGTCTCCTTAGGCAAATGACTTTGTTCGAAATGTGCTTCTGTTCACCCAGCAGTGAGTGGGTACCCGATAGGATGAGACTGTGATGTGGATGTTAACCTACCGGGGTAATAATACTGCATCGCTATGAGCATCCACTTGGTGAATGGAACCTGGCGCATTATAAATGCACTTGACCAGGAAGCCATGACGTCACAAATCTATGAAATGGCATTCCAAGCGTGATGTATTTTACTATGGAACGAGGAGATTTGATTGAGTTGCTGCATGTCTGATACGATTACAATTGTAGGTGGGGCGCAGGGAGAATTGGTGTGGTTCGAGCATCCAGCAAGTGGTGCACTGCAGCACCCCTGGACCATGCATCTCATAGACCACGGCCCCGATGTATATTTTGATTTTCTCACTCTCCATACACCACAAGGAACGTTTGATTGCATTGTGACTGCCGGCTTCTTCTCCAAGAGTCTCAATATCTATTGGACAACAGATCAAAGTGGGAAATGGGATGATACGTCCAAGGTGACTGTTGCTGCCAGAGTCCCATTCACTATGTAATCCCAAAGTTGCGAAAATAACTGAAGAAATAGAAATATTAACGTTCATGTTAATTTATTGTTGGAATGTGTTTAAGTTATGTTTAGGGTCTGACCGCGTTCTTCCCTAAGAGTTATGTTTTCCCTAAACCACGGAACTCTAATATGAATAAGAAACATTTACAAACTATTCGACTTGCTTCATACTTTTAAGCAAGTCAATCGACTATGATCCGTGTTTCAGATCAAGTCACGAGTAATAGACCACTCTTTCGGGGCTGTGTTTGATGTTCAAGCTGTGGACCTAAACGGCGATGGTGGCCTAGACCTTCTTGTCACTGGAAATGATGCGCACACCGCCTATGTATACAGCTATGAGATCCCAGCAGATTTCAGGTACTGCATCCATATATTGAGCTAACTATCACTGTATCGAGAATCTAACCAATTTACGTATGTCCTCACGCCATTGTGGTGTCCTTCGCGAACACTGTGTGTTAATATGCACACACGTGATCTTGTTAAAAGACTACCATTGCTGTGTTTGCGCAAGCGCTCCTATTATTCTAACAATACATTTTAACTGTGCACAATGCGTAATTGTTAACACCAAATAGTGCACATTTTCCCGTATGGGAATGTTAATAACACTTTGATCAGTTATGCCAATGTTCAAGTTCATCCGCAAAATCGTAGCCTGAAAAAACCCGAGAAGCGTTACTCCAATGAATCTTCGGATATACAAACTGGCAGGTTATAATTTGACACTTTTTCACTTTCTTCATTGACTAAACTACGTATTGAAATAACACAAAACACAAAACCCAATTTAAGAGACCTGTATATTGTTTGCATTTACTCTAATCCATATTGGGAAAATACTCTTTCAAGGTCATCACTCAACAATATGCACACATGCTCTTAAATTCTCACAAAATATGAAACTCTGTCTGAATATGTGATGAAAAGATAAATAGAAAACTTTAAAGGCATCACAATCATAAGTGCCAAAACCGACGTTGCACAAACTTGCTTTTTGCTCCAATTTCTCGGACTTATATGCACCTAATGTTCTGAACCTCAGCATAGATTTTCGTGACAATTTCGTGCTTAAAGTGTTGCAAAGTAATCAAAATGTTCAGTGGGGGAATATTCAGAGGAAAAGACAGAATTCTATGGAAATGGTCACACACAAAACTATGTCAATGATGTATGTGGCTTCATTTTCTTTTCTTACTTTTTGCATTGTTTTTTTTTGTTACGTAAAGTGAAAAATCGGACTGACATAAACACGAAAAACGAAATTACGAAAACAAGTATGACATTAAAAGTACTATACAAATATTTTGCAACTTACATTGATTACTGCCCTTTATTGTGCAGTGAACATCATACAAATGGATTGTTAAAAGCGGCGTCAAACCAAACTCATTTACTCACTCATACAAATGGGAACCATAAAGCTCCGGGTTAGAACAGATCTGCAGCAACCCAAGCTTGACGCAAGAGTTGACTTTGCTTCTCATGAGAGGCAACTAACGAGATCGGGTATCCCATTTGTCTAGATCGATGCTTATGATATCAATCACTGGATTGTCTGGTCCAGTCTCGATTATTTGCAGACAGCCATCATATAGCGCCGAGTGCGGCGTTAAACAACAAACAAACAAATAAAACAAATAGGATGGCTTGTGACAAATAGGATGGCTTACTGGTCGTGCTTTTATGTGATGGTCAATGTGATCCCACAAATGACCTACAAGTGATAAGCCTGGTGATCGTGCTGACCAATGCAAGACACGACACTCATGTTATTGGCTTGCGGTAAATCTCTTACATAACATGCTTGTATTGGACCTTGCAATATGTTGCTGAAACAGGGTCCAGGTTTTTTGCAAGAACGGTAGTACAAAGGGAAGGAGAAGTTGGTCAATGTGACGCTTTCCAGTCATACATCCTTCAACATCACGAGATCTGTCTTGACTTGATCACATGTCGCACCAAACCATAATGCCACCACCTCTAAACGGTTCGATATTTTGAACGCAATATCATGACGTTTGTTCTCCTCGTTGGGGGTAGACTCGAACTCTTCATGGCAGTGTGGATGTTAACCTTCTAGCGCCTCACGCGCAGCTTGGGTTGCATACTCCCTCATAAAACTGGAACACTCATGTATTGATAACTGGGGTAAAAGTTCGCTTTGAGCATCCTATCCAGCATGGACATTTCATAAGCGAGGTGCGCCATGTTTTTCCTGAATCTTGTCAATCACATTAGTGTCAAAAGGGACAAAGAAATCCAATGACATAAATGATTGGATTGGATTTATTAAACAGGACACGGTCAGGTTTGTTGGCTTGGATAGGTTTGAGGCTGAATTTTGTAATTATCATTTTCCATCGCGCCCTCCACATATTCAGGTTCGTATGTGGGATAGACCTCTGAGTCAAAACCACAAGCATGGCGAAGATGGCAGTAAAAGGATTGAGCCATGCCATCATATTGCTAAAGATACTGTGTTTGAGCCAAAGCTGGGCATCCACTGACAATGGGTTGGACAGTCTGATTAGAGGCATTGAATAATCTACATTTCATATTTACATTTGGATGCAAAATCACACATTGTTGGTGTCGACTGGGAAGTGAATGAACCTGAGCAGTGAACAGAAAGCCTTCTGTTACACTTTTCAGGCCTTATGACTTCATCCCAGCGAAGGACTCTGCTGGGTTGCTCAACACCGCACATAAACTCGATGCTGTCATCAAACTTCTAATGCTAAAAGGGAAATTTAGAACGAAACTTATCTGATGGAGATTCATGAAGAGAGACAGCAGCACAAAATTTTGTTAGTCCATTTTCTGACCTGTTGTGATATTCCTTTAACGTATTTAAATGGCCCTCGAAGGCTGACTATTGATAGGTAACAACTCTTATACCCTTAATACCAGGACTGGTGTTTTAATCTTAAATTTTTGCCATGGCTTTCAGTTTGTCCTACGTTATCTTTCTCTTTTTCCTGGCAATTTCAGTAGCCCTCAGAAGACTAGTTCGGAGGGTAGACACATGGTTTAGTAAACTGCAAACAACAAAAGAAAGCCTTCACCCCACGCCATCAAAGTATTTAATCTTGATCAAGTTTTTCGGGACACTGATGAAATCTCTCCAATACACCTTGATACTCCGGGTGATGAGCCCTTGATTTGGCCTGTCTTATTCCCAACTCATGCGTGACCTGCTGAAACAACCGTGACATGAAATTCGACCCTTGTTCAGATTGCGCTACTTTGCGTAAGTCAACAATCGTGAAACACTTCACCAAAACCATGACAATATCTGTTTTCCTCAGTGGAACAGTTGAACAGTACATGATTGTCATCAAATACTGATTACCAGACTTTCAGACAAGGGACTACACAAATAACAACGCTGGTATGGGCCTCAAAGGGGCAGGGGGCATTTCCTGATTAGGTGTCCCTACCACCTGACATGCATGACAAGTTGACAAAACTGTGACAAATCCTGAAGCAAACTATGCCAGAAGACACGAGCTAATTGTTTATCACATGTTAATGTTAAAACCCACATTAGCAGCTAGGGGAGTATCATGGGTCAAATATATCACCTGTTTATGATAACTTTGTGGAATGACAATCGGTTGAAAAAAGCAGCTGAAACAGCTGAAACTTCTGGAGCTCATTTGTGTTTCTACTACCAAGATGACGGTGTGTTTATAAGGAAAAATTATTAAAACACCGTCATCTTGGTAGTAGAAACAAAATTGGTACCTTGGCAGCCACATCGGAAGAAGGTGCTTGTCTAGCGAGTACTTGTATGTCAGGTTCATCACCCTGCGAAGACACCAGCTGTTTTCACGAGAGTACAGGGTCATGCTGCATGAAAGTACCAGCTAGATCATTGGTGACATCATTCCAGTTTTAAATCTCCTTGGAGTTTTGTTCTCACAGCACTGGAAGGTAATATAACTGGACTCTTCTTTGTGAAGTCATACAGTACTCACTGTAGTTCATGTAATTAATGCTACAATTCAACCATGATGCTAATACCTTGAAACACGAAATTCTTAATGATGATATGTCGCACTACAATGAGACTCTGGAGAATGTGCATTATGTTTTTTAAGTTGGGGTGGATTATTGAGTTTTGTAAGATTCACTATAACAGCTCATGCAGAATTGAATTATGAATTAATGTCTTTATGAAATTATTTCTTTGAAAGGACTGGGAAATTTCAACGTCATACTTTGGCCGGAGGCTTCAGCCCGAGACTTAAAGGAATAGGTCACGGGGCCCCAGGATCAGCACAAACAGTCTTTCCCACAAGTGACACCAACGGGTAAGCGTTATCATCATTACACAAACCCCGAGCGTCATATTAACTAAATGATTTTCAGTGGTAAGAAAATGAAATATGCATTCGTCACAATTTAAGCTATTTAGATATAGTGGTACACATGAGTACAATGTGTGAAGCACGTTTTGGGTGTCTTCCGCCATGGTATAATTCTGGGAGAGTGCTAAAAGCAGCACAAAACAAAAATCACTAACTTAATCGCAACTAAATTGTAAATACCTGAAGTCTACAGATAATCGAGCTGTACATTGAAAACCCAATATGTTAATCTTCTTATATATATTATCTTTTCACTGTCAACTGCTGCTATTAAAACAACCCTAAAATAAAGTGTTCAATGGCTAGTTATCAGCAATGGATTTATTCACAGATGCTATGTGTTATGTTACATTCTACCACACAATAGAGGTTTCAGATCACAATAAACTCCTCTGATTGCAAAAGCTAATTTGACGGGATCAACGCGGAAGCTAATATTTATGGAGAGTACTCCTTTCTCAATCAATGTAGGTAGGCATTTGAAATAACTGTTCACTTTAAGGTTAAAAATGCAGTACCTGCAATTTCCAAACGATGTGTGACAAAATATTTGGGGCAGAAAACATTTTTGGGACAATAGAGAAATTTCTCCCACTGTGACGTCATATATGTGCAAATCTTTTCTCCAGGGGTGACCACTTCATGTGGGTTAATGATGAGTCTATGTTACACACTCTCAATAAATATCATATGCGCATTTGAAACTCAATTTACAGGGGTTATATTGCAGAAGATATTTCATGTGTCGAGTGAAATATCATGTTTCTCTCATCGGGGGACGGGGGCAAAGGAGATATTTTCACGAAGGGCGTAGCAAGAAAGTAGGAGAAACATGATATTTCACGAGACATATGGAATATCCTATTTATTATATACTTTTTGTGCATTGTCTACAGGAAATGTTATTATTTCATTACAAATCTCCGAACTCATATAATCTTTACATTGCCGCTTGTATAAAACAAAAATTCTTCCCTGTCAAATGCTGCTCTTAAAACAAACCTAAACAAAGCGTCCAATCAGACGATCATGAAATCAATATTATCTCCAATCAATTAGTCTTAGTTACTACAATACTAGACGAGTGACGTGACACAGTAATACATTGTGAACACATTTCGGAATTGAGAAATGTAGACACCTTAGCAGATAGTATATTGCTCGACTAAGTGAAATTGCTATAAAAACATATCGCCTATACAGCTTGGTTAAGAGGCTGCGATCGGTAAGCTTATGTTGTCAGAAGAAGAAAACACTATACACAGTAGATTGGCTTTTAAACTTATCGATACCAGTATAAATGAGAAGAAGAAGAAGAAGAAGAAGATTTTATTAACGTCTCACTTGTATACCACATTTTTGTTAAAACAAATTAAAAATATGGTTACATTAAAGTTGTAAACAACCAATCGCACAGCGATTTATGAGAGACGGTACATTGTAAACAGGCACATAATAATTTTTTGTTAGCAAAAGCTAAATATTAAAATATACATACATTAATATACAATACAATGTTTAAGACTCAATGATATAAAATATTCCTCCGGGTAAATAAAATGTCATGGCAGGTTCTGGCACAGTAAAAGGTGAGGTCATCAGTTGATAGAATCCTAATATATTTATCTTGCTCTGTCAAGGAAGTAAAATCTATCCATAAACTATTGCACTTGTTGATGAGGCTAAAACGTATTTCGTCGTAAAGGGGACAGAATAAAAGGACATGCTTCTCATCTTCTATGACATTTTTGCAGTTAAGACACAGCCGCATCTCTCTGGGTATGTTCTCGTATCTGCCCGTTTCGATCCGCAGAGGGGCCACGCCCAGTCTAAACTTTGCTAGTGCACTTCTGTGTTTGCATGGGATTGGTCGACTGACAAAGCTTTCTTGTCCATATTCACTCTTAAATTGTTTGTACAACCGAAACTTGCTGCTTCCACTATGTGCTGCTTCACTTCGGATTGTTTCCTCCCATGACCGTTTGTATCTGTTAAAGACTGTATCATGTACAGTTTTAATAAAGAGACCCTTTTCTAGATTGCCGTCGTATGGAATGAAATGACCCAAGTTGAAGTTCTGTAAAAAGTTCCTCACACGATGATTCCAGTTTTTCACTGATGTCCCATTTGCCCATCGGAATATTCTCTTGTTGATTCTTCTTGTACTTGTGTTGGTCATTCTCGCCCAATGTCTAGCAACACATGTCCATTGTAGGACCTCCGGTGGCACCCATCCAGAATCTCCATTCACGGCCAAGTTAGGGGCGTTTTTTTCCCTAACCAAGGTAAAACCGAATCGCTCTGTGGTGTAGCGCATTGACTGGCGAATGGACCTTGGTACCCCATATTCCTGCTCCATAGGACATTATTGGCCACACTGGAGAGTCATAAAGCTTTGAATACACGTTAAAAGGCAGATCTCCAAACGATTTCGCTTTTGCAATAAGAAGTCCAAGGGCCCTGCTTGCAGATTTAGTCGCCGCCTTTGCCATCAGGTTATAATCTAAATGTTCTGTGAGGAGCACTCCCAAGTATTGATAATTATCCACAATCTTCAGTACATTATCTCCACATCTGAATGTTGCCGCTGTCTGGGTCACCGATGATCCTCTGAAATGAATTACATTTGACTTGTCCTTATTAACGACCATCTTGTTGTTGCCACACCAGGGCCCACTTGCACAAAGCGATCTTAGCGCTAAGATGATCGTAACTCCCATACTTTAACATAGGCTTACAATAGTCTTAGCGCTAAGATCGTTTTGTGCAAGTGGGCCCTGGTGTCCAGCACTGACAGGAGTGTGTTGAGATCCTCCTCTGTCTCTGCAAGGAGAGCTACGTCATCGGCGTATGCCAGGACGCTAACAACATCTTCACCACATTGTACTCCGATCCCCAGTCCCTTCAAGGTTAATATCAAGTCATTAATGTATATGTTAAATAACATTGGCGATAAAATACATCCCTGTTGAAGCCCTTGTCTCACATTGAACCATTCGGTGTTAGAGTGGTTGACACGAACAACACATTGTACGTTGTGATAGAGAGATTTCATAGCACTAAACATTTTACCACCGATTCCAGCTTGGGTCAGCTTAAGCCACAGTCGTTCCCTTCTAATGCCGTCATACGCTTTCCTAAAATCTACAAAAGCTACAAATGTGGACTTTTTCTTCAATTTTCTTGTTTCAATAATGGATGTTATCGTCCCTATATGGTCAGTTGTAGATCGGCCTCGACGAAAACCATTTTGCTCATCACAGATGACGTCATTCCTTTCGGCCCATGTGGTCAGTCGTTCATTTAGCACACTGCAGTAGAGCTTGTAAATGGCTGGAGCCAGGGTTATCCCTCTATAATTAAGTGGATCTCTGGGATCTGAGGATGATGACTTCGGAATAGGACGTATAATTCCCTGACACCATTGGATCGGAATCGTAGACGTCTCAAAACACACCGAGAAGAGCCTATGCAAAGTGTCGATGATACCCTCTCCCTTCAGTAGTTGTACTGGGATTCCATCAACACCGGGTGCCTTTCCACTCTTTGCTTTCACTACTGCCCGCCTCACCTCATATAGGGATATGTTTGCATTAAAGGGTTCATCATCTAGCATTGGTATGTCAAAGTCAGTATCACCTATACCACTATCGGATGTGTTTAAAAGAGACTCAAACGCTGACTTCCATGTATCTAGCACCACCTGTTTATCTGTACTAACCGATCCATCCTCCTTCACAACCTCCACTGGGATCCCCTTCTGTCTCTCACTACCCACTCCAATCTTCCCGATCTTCTTCCACAGCTGCGCATTGTTCTCCTCGCACATCTCCTCCAGTTCACGGTGCATCTGACACCTGTAGGTGCGTTTACACCTCTGTACACTCCTATCAAAGTACTTCCTCAAAGCTATGTACCTTTCCTTTTTCTCTTTCTTTCTCTGATCTTTAGTTCGTGACCATAATCTTTCTGCCTTGCACATTTCGTTCCATTTTCTGTTGAGATCATCATTCCACCAGGGTTGTTTTATTCGTCGACGTTTATTCCTTATTCCTTCTTTAGTATATCTTCCTTTCTTCATTGGCAGTTTTTTCTCCATTTCCCCGTGCACTACTTCCACAAAATCACCATAGCACTTATCAATGGACGTCTGATCCTTAACTGAAGATTCCAGTCTCCCAATGATATCATTCAGTGACCTCTGTATAGATTCTGACGTCAGAAAATCCGAAGGCGGGTTATTCATAATATAGCTACGTGTTTTGTCACAGTCCTCCAATTCTTCACTCTCCTTTTCTGGTCTGTGTATATAATCTACCTTCATTGTCCACTCCAGCATTGAATGATCAACTTTCAGTAGAGCACTTCCATCAATGACCCCCACACACCCAGATCGTTCCATAAGAGTAGACGGTCGTACAACATTAAAATCATTGAAACTTTCTAAACTTTCATATGGTATGAAACAATAGTCAACAACAGATGTACCCTGCTGTGAAACAAAAGTAAAATCATTTTTACAAACATTACGTCCATTCAACATACACATATTAGCTCTTATCAAAAAGTCAATACATAATTTTCCGTTGTTATTAACTGTATAGTCCAGCACATGTCTCTCTGGGATAGCGTCCACGCCTTCAATAAAGTCCGTTTCCTCTCCACATCGACTGTTAAAATCTCCACATATAAATGAAATATTTCTGAATTCATAAATATGTGATAGTAAACTATCATAAAAATGTTCAGCACACACATTCCGAGAAGAGTGATCAGGGGGCAAGTAGCATACTGAAATATACTTGACACAATCATCGCATTTATTTTTCATAGCGAGCCATAGTATTCCCTCAATGGAATTTTCAGCAATATCAAAATCATAAAATGTCAAAAGTTCTGTCTTTATAAGAAACCCCACTCCTCCAGACCCTCTCGGTGTATTCACATGTAAGTTAGTACGGTTGTGACCAAACCAAACATAACCATCAACTTTAATAGTGTCCGATCCTCGCAAGTGTGTTTCCGTTATCCCTATAATGTCACAGCCTGCAAATCTTACACACATCTGTCTGAGAGAAGCGTTTTGAGATTCAGAGTCTGTGCCCCACCCTTTGGCGTTCCAGCACCCGCACTTGACCTATTGGTGACGTTGTTGTCTCTCATTGGATGCTGATGAACTTCCAACTCTGTCACCTGGTGACCTCCGACCTGATCTCAGAGGTGTACGTCGCTGATTGGACCTCCACTCGTCACGCGATTCTTGTTGGTAAACACGGCCACGTGTTTCCTCGTCTGCACGTTGTAGTGTTGTTCTCTCTGTCTATCCTGCTGCGGGTGGCGGTTGTTGTCTTCTGTTCGGCGTAGTCTTGTTCCCGTCACACGAAGCTGTCCATCGCCAACCGTCTCCGCTAACAAGCGCATATTTGATTCCATAATACGCTGTTGCAGGGGTTTATCACTTTGGATGTAAACTCTTGAAGAGTTCGAACTGTCTCTCAATATTTTCTTTTCAGACATGATTTTCCGCTTGTCCTCCACCGATCTACAGCTTGCCACAATAACACCAGGGTTCCTCCCACCCCTATTGCCTTTCCGTTCAGCTTTGTTGATTTTAATGTCCTTTATTTTCAATCCATCTTTGATCAAACCATTCACTTTGTTCATCACATTTTCATTTCTTGATTCCTCTAAATTCTTTATGATGAAATTTAAATGTCTATCGTCAACCTGTTGCTGCTGAAGATCAGTTTGTGCACTTTTCACATCTGAGATATCACTGTTCATTTTATCTTGAAAATGTTTGTGTTCTTCTCTCATGTCTTCCAACTGACTGTTTACCTCTATGTCTAACATACTCTTCATCTTTCCAAGCAATCTGCTTTCCATGGAATCAAGTCTTTTGTCAAAGTATTCAGTCTGTTTGTTAATGGCTGCTAGCACATCGGCTACAGTTTTCGCGCACTGTTCACTGCAGGTCAGGGTCGATGTAGAATTTCTGTTCATAGTGTTTATATTATCGGAGATTGTCTCACCTCGAAGCTTCTTGTTGTGTGATAGCGATGCATCACCGTCTGTTAAGTGACGTTTTCTTTCCTCTGGTGGGTGAATCACATTTGTGACCATGGGGGTCGCCATTACTGTTGACACGTAGTCTTGGGATGATTCAACATTCATGACAAAATCCAAGTCTTTAAACACACAATCGAGTTTAAATCGAGATTGCCCGCTGTCCCCAGTATCTCTCACCTTTCTTTCAAGTGCTTTTTGTTTCGCTTACACAAAAAATTTCATTAAAAATCAAAATCTTTACAGAGCGAAAATTATCGTGTTCACTCATCAACGACCTTCACCTCACACCCTGAGCGACTTTAAGATAAATGCACACTATTTTTGATAAGGCGCTCTGCGGTGCCCTGTTGTTCATACCTTCTGATTAATTGTCCATAAAAATGGCATTGTTGGTGATTAATGACTATTTACTGATGACACCTTTCTTGGACAATCGTCAAAATATATTCGTATTCTGGAAACTGTTTTTTTTTAATTTGAATTTACAAATAAACATTTACAATTATGTTTTACGTCATATAACAATGGCCATGATTCAGTGATGTCACTATGTCAGTGTCTATATGAGAAGTGTAACGCTGACGAATTTTCGTATTTCATCCTACTAATGAGTATTGTTAATGGAACAACGCACTAGATCCTTGTGGTTATTGAAAATATGTCCCTCATGAAATAAATATTGAAAGTTTCCAACTAAACCTAAACATTTATATCACTGGGAACATATTTCCTCGTTGGTTACTATTTCATCACCTGGCAAAAAGGTTAATTCCAACATGCAAATACATGGCCCGAGGAACTGGGGCCGAACATTCGCAACAAGGACGCTTAGTTGGGTTTGTGTGCTGGGGGTGGTAGGATAGGGCTATGGAGATTTTTCTTGTTTCAAAAACGCAAAATGGGTTGGGTTAGGGGAGTGGCAGTACTTGAACATACGGAATGATTTCCCTTTTTGATTTGAAAGGGGAGTCTTTAAAAATCATTTAATAGAATAAAGATTCAGTAATCAACCCTAACTGACAATATATTAAATAAATATGTCATGCGCCTTGAGCATGCAAAATTCATGGATATTTTTGCTCTACTAGAGGACCAGTAGTAGTAGTAGTAGTAGTAGTAGTAGTAGTAGTAGTAGTTGTCTCACTGTATGAAGTATATGTTCGTACGTTTTTTTAAATTTTTTAGTCAATCAGTAGTTCAGAGGAACAGTCGAAAGTATTTGATTTAGCTGTCTATTTAGATGGTACATTTTCTACGGGTACGTCTTTCAACGTTACCATCGAGGAAAACGGTACCAACAGGAGACATAATACAACGGAGTTTGGGTACACTTTTCTACGTAATATTTTGGCCCAAGGTACAATTCTACGGGGTACCAAATTATATGTTACAACGGCACCAAAGTCTGCGAACCTAAGCATTTTTGTGCATGGCCGATACGTAACAGCGGTAGAAAAATGAAAAATATCATATCTAAATCAGAATGAGATCTTTATTATTATCAAAGTAATTTCAATCTGAAATATCTATTGTTTTTTTTGGGTTTTTTTGTAAATCTCGCCTCTTGCCTTTTTACCCCCTGAGTCGGTCGGGTAGCCTTGTGGTCAAAGCGTTCGTTCGTCACACCGAAGACCCGGGTTCGATTCCCGACATGGTGTCCCCCGCCGTGATATTGCTGGAATATTGCTAAAGGCGGCGTACAACCATACTCAATCACTCACTTTACCCCCGTGACCTGACTGACCTGCGTGGTGGCACCTAAGTCAGCTCAGTCATTCATTAATCCGCCAGTAATATCGAGACTCTTGTAAGAAGGCCCTCGGACGCCATTGCCAACGGTAGAATATCAATATTATGTTTTAAATCATATAGTGAACATGAGGTTATTCAGCAAACATGGTCATGGAGTCCTAAATATGGTGGCTTGGAGCACAACAAAAATGCCCACGATGTTCTGTTCAATAGCCGCTTCACTTAGAACGACATTCAATTGAGATAACCCGTTTGATCCTTATGTATTTACAAAACCGGTAGGTCCTGTTTATGCATTTATTGTATTAAGTAAGGATAAGATACATGGATGAACAACTTCTTTATTAGGAGCGACGTTTCGGTGTAGTTTCTAACACCGTATTCAAGCAAGTGATCACTTATCCTTACTTAGTTCTCCAACTTCTAAATGCTTCTCAATTGTATTGTTCAGTTGCTCATGTAGCTTAATGTTAACTGAACACAGAAAATGTCGCATTCAGACTAAAATTACGCGGTGTTTATTACAAACTACTTATAACATTTACACCACCCGTGGATTACGTATATCTGTGGCGAACGTGCACATTTTGAAATTATTATTGATGAAAATGTAGTTATTTAGTTTGTAAACGTTGTCGAACAATTGTTGAAACGTTAGCGAAGTCATCTCGAGAGGTGGCATCCAAATCTGTACAAATTCATTGTGAGATGTCATCCAAGAAGACGAGGTATTCGAAACCTAGCCCATGTCCTTGAGAGGGAGACAACTTCTTTCCAACGAGAAAGCAGCATACGATTATCACAATGCTTTTTCACTTTAAGTTGCACTGTGAGTTATGTAAATTTGAGGTGTGAAGGAAAAAGTATATATTGTGTGAGTTTGTGTCGCAATTCGTTCCCTATGTGTTACAATCGTGTTACATTGTTTGATATGACCCTCTAGCTTAAACAAACAAACGATGGGTAGTATCCCTTGGGCAGCTGCTGGACAAGGAAGAAGTCCCTGTTTGTTACACCCAAACCGGATCTTAGTAATAAAATGCTTGTTACAGATTATTTAATTTTTCATAATATCAAAATCAAAGATGACGTTCCCCACATTCAACATTGTATGCAATGTTGTTATTTTTGTAGGATAAACAGAAACGGCATAAACAGTGTATGTATAGCTGCTAAGTATCACATATCAGCCAATAAAAAAAAAAAAAAAAAAAAAAAAACCTGTGTCAAGCACCGCTGGACCGCTGGACCGCTGCGTCGGTACCACAGGCCACACACCCCAGTATATTTGTTTTGGAAACTGATTACGAAGCGTTGATTTCAACACTTTCATTTGAACACTTAAATACTTTCTACCAACATTATGAATTTTTCTCTCCCTCGGAAATTGACTAAACAAATCTAGGAAAATAATATCAGGTTACTTGCCCTTTAAAGATAACAAGTAAAAGTAAACTAATATGTAATCCTGGAATTTTGCTGAGGCTAATACGAACATGATGCTAAATTAACATACGGACTTTAAACTTGTTGAATGCGATTTTCAATAGCCATGGCTGAATATGTATTTGATGTATCGGGTTTTGTTTTTCTTTAGAAAGCCGGTGATTGTGTTATCGGGGGATGATGACGGAAGAGCATATGTCCTGAAACCATCATCAACGTCGCATGGTGACTGGACATATGACAAGGAAACATTCCTGGACGTTGGCCAGGGAACTGTTGGAGAAATAGCCATCAAGGATGTTGATGGAGATGGCTATGGGGAGGTATTTGTGCCTGCATATACTCAAGGTTATGTCTATGTATACACATTTAGAAAATAAATAGGACACAGAACCCCTCTGACATTGTCAGTGCCTGCTTTATAAACTTGTTAACTATTTTTTAGGTTATTAAAAGACGCTTCCATTATGACAAACAGCAGAGTTCCAGAGTACGTTGAACGAATATGAAAAAAATTTCAAATGGCACTGAAGTGCATTTGGATATTTCATCAGCAGGTTGAAATTATGTTTGAGGTATAGTATTTTATAACATATTTATGTATTTCCTTCAACGAAAAAGTCTTATATTTAAGAGTTTGTTGTTCTTATATTCAAAATACCCAAATACCATTTTCACAAACGAAAGTCGGCGTTTATGGCCTTGTAACGACTTTAATATAGCTGCCGTGAAAATCGGATTTGAACGTACCTAGTTGTCGTTATCAGTGGGACAGAACATGTCAAATTTCAGCTTCGCTTGTGTCAGACGCAGTAGCTCAAAGAACAAGACGACCTCAAGTGCTGTACATGCAGGTCAATAATATAGTTGGTGGTTAGTTACAAAAAAATATTTACTATTAGTATTATCTGTAATTGGATGCTGCTCCGCGGAATGGGAAATGTAATTTATTGGTATTATTAACATACAAGTGAATTATGTTCATCTACATTCCACCATGAATTTTTGAAGGGTTTCAAATAACAATAATCACCTTTGTGTGAAACAGTTGATTTGACTATCTCATCAGTGCCTAAGCCAATATATATCGAAAAATATTGTTTTTAATCATTTGATCTCGTGACAGGTACAAAAATAGATAACAAAATAAAGGGCCGTGTTACCTGGCCGTGGTACGTGGCTGGACGCTCATGTTCATCCATGTGATTACTCATGTCAACTAACGACTCATTAAAAAATACTGTCGGAAATGCTAGAAAATGCGTTTAGTCCATAACAAAAGGATAGACTGTTGTTATTGAAATATCGAGTAAATACCGATCGACCTCCCTGTGGTTTTTCAGTCACAAAGAGTCCTTTCGACAGGAATTATTTTTTTCTAACGCCAACGATGTCAGTCTAAAACGGACTTTAGAAATATGCGCACGTGACTCTGTTATAATGATATTAATGTAGTCTTCATAAAACATCTAACCCACACACTAAAATCATATGGAGAAAATTCTAGATGTGCAGCTTCTAAAATGATAAAATGACAAACATACAATGAATGATTCCTGGACTGCACTAACTATTGGTCTCCATGAGATGGAATATCGACACACTGCGCGTGACGATGACAGAGCAGTTTTCAGGGGGAAATATTACATCCCGTCTATGAGGTCACATTATCTCCGCACCATTCATAACTATCACAGTCAGGGCTTCCAGATCATTTATCTCTACTACTTGTGGCAGATGAACAAAAAACACCCATGGTACTATGGGGTAAAGATAATCGTGCCGTTGTTTTGCACGCCGCAAACCCGTGATCTGGGGCTTATTAGTGAATGAGAGCTAGTTTTCGAGGTGAAAAAGAAAACTTGTAATTTTCATATAAGGAAATATTATAGGAGGTGTTGGAACATCAGCTAATGTCCATTTTAAACAACCTCAGTGTTATTGTCATGAGTGAGTGAGTATGGTTTTACGCCGCTTTTAGCAATATTCCAGCAATATCACGCCAGGGTCACCAGAAATGGGCTACACACATTGTATCCATGTCGGGAATCGAACCCGGCTCTTCGGCGTGACGAGCGAACGCTTTAACCACTAGGCTACCCGACCGCCCCAGTTATTGTCATGAATAACACCAGTTAATATAACGTCCGGAAATCAGATACTGTCGCGCCAACCATGAGTAGCCTGAAGGCGACTATAGAGGAAGGAATATATGACATTGTCAACTCATGTGTAAAATTCGGCTGAATAAGTAACAAGTAAAATACAAGTCACACGAGGGGCGTTCAATAAGTTTTGCAACTTCATTAAAGAACAAGTCGCAGAATATCTTTTGCACAATACACTTCTTCCATTTGTCCTTCAAGCTTTTAATACCACTTTCATAGAACTCCGCAGAATGGCCCTCTAACCACGACTCTGTGGCAGCATTTATGTCCTTGTCATCCTGGAAGCGTCTTCCACATAGGGCAGATTTCATTTGCCGGAACAGAAAATAGTCACTGGGCTGTAGGGTGGGTGATTTAACTCTTCGAATTCACATATGGCGGCCTGTGCAATTCTCGATTTGTCTACCGGAGCGTTGTCATGCAACAGTAGGATACAAACCACGAGTTAACATCACAGCGCGTTGACATTGTTTGTGTTAACACAAATGCCCAAGTTACAAAACTTATTGAACGCCCCTCGTATGTGCTGGCAGTTACGTTGTCTTAGGTACGCCGGTCAGACATTTTGTCTATCTTGGCTAACTGTAAAGGGTACATGGCAAGACATAACACAACATTCAAACACACATGTCAAAGGGAGGATCAGCGCAGTCTGTGCTAGTTATCAGCCTTGTTGGACCAGTTATCATACCTTTGGGTGATAGTACAGAATCATATACGTCATCAGCGGAGACGGATGCTACCTCATCTGTAGAACAACAAATACATCTTGATTCCCAAACCGCAACCTTCCGATACTCATCACGTTTTATAGCTTTTAACTATTTCATCATGTTTCCAAGCAAATATAATGCAGTACATATCCCAAATAGCTACCCCCATCAACGCACATGTCAATTAAGTACAATTGGCAATTGCACCTTTGCGAATGCACGGTCATCTCCTCGGGACAGGTGTCAGGTAATTACCTCAGGTTATAGACCGTTTTATTCATGCATGACAATACACGGATATTTTCTAAGTTTATCATTATTTTACCTGTAAAAGTATATGTTAAGGACAATCACAGTGTCAGCTAGGATAGACTAGATTAGGTCAATTTGCGTTACTTTGATATATGCTATTTTCATAGCCCTATGACTCGTATGTATTAAATGAAGCCAGAAAAGCATTTTCTAGCATTTCCGACAGTACTTTTAGCAATTGGGCCTTAACACAGGATGGCGACCTTTGTACCTCCCGCGTGCGACCATAAAATTTGCCAGGACGTCGTTGGATCCTCAAAGGAGGCAGAACGGTTGCCTAGGTCGTTCCAAGGTGGTACACAGGAGGTTCAGACATCGCCATGGACGCCGTGAATTTTTTAACATGTTCAAAACAGTCGCACAAAGGTCGCCGAGGAGGTTGGTTGGTCAAAGGTGGCTCAAAGGAGGCAGAAGGGAAGCACAAGCATTGCCGTTGTTGCAGAATGAAGGCACAGTGGTCGTCGAATAGTCGCCAGGTTAAAGATTCATGCTGTTGCAAATTTTTCCCGTCAATCTGTGCGATGCTTCTGCCTCCCTTGTGCCTCTTCTGGGCGACCAACAGCGTGCATTGAACGATGACTGTTGCGACCGCTGTGCCTCCTTTCGGCGACCACGGCAAACCTTGATACACCATGGCAATGCTTCTGCCTCTTTTCTGTCTCCTTTGAGCTACCTGTAGTACCTCCTCAGCCTGCCTAAAAATAGAGGGTTTGTACCTGCAGTGTTTCACTGTGGTTGCAGACGCTGAACAACTCGAGCAGTTACTGCTGAAGAACTGCTGGAGCAGTTACATAGATACATGATTTTCTGGGTTCAGGCGACCATTGAGCGTCCTGGGAGGTTTTTGATCGCTCAAAGGTGGCACAAAGGTCGCAGCCCTGTGTAAAGGGGGCTTAACATTGAACATGCATTCACGTGTCTACTCAGGGGATTTATTGTGTGGAATAGGACCGGGGACAGGAGGTGTTTATGGTACCCCGAAAAGATGTTAGTCGTATAGCTGGTTCCAGACATCAATTGTTATATTAATTATTCACAATGTCCAGACCAAAGGTCAACAATGCACCAGGTATATGCACCAGGTATCGCTGAACAAATATCTGAGGACATCCCATTACAGGTCACGTCAGAACGACCTTTCATCTGACCAATCAAAGCGTCGCTTACCAGATCATGTAAGTGACAGTCGGAATGTGTTTTCTAATCATGCAACCTCGAAAACGTTAACACGGGGTATTCCGAATGACAGTTACGGCCCGTACTACTGATTCCGTCAAAATTATCTCTCGTTTCCGTGGGATAAACATTTGAACGCAGGAGGCACAGTTCTTTGGAAGCACTGCCATACAATCTCAACCATATATTAGACATTCCGGAATGTTCGTTTGTTCAGTTTTTCATAATTTTAATCGAGAATTGTGTCACCATATGTTTCAAGTGTAGTCTGAAATGGAAGTCGCCAGGTTGAAACGAGTGTCATATAGCTCGAGGAAGCTGCTTTCTAATTGGCTGATGTCGACTTCTTGTAAGTCGTTTCAGTGGTCGGTCAAAGTTCGCGAAAGGTCGTTCTGACTTGACCCGTTATGGGATGTCCTCAGATCTTTGTTTAGCGGCAGCGAGAACTTAGATCTGATTTTAGTGAGATTGCACTGTTACTTTTGCAGAGATAATAGAAACAGAAACACTTTCTGCTCGCTTCCTGGCATAGCCGTATGGTTCCAAAACATCACAAGAAAACATCTGTCAGCACCGTTGCGCCGGTAGCTTTGGGCCACACCCCTAACTTGATTTCTGTTGGAATCCGATTACGGGACGTGTGAGTTCAGGACCTTCACTTGGAATACTAAGGAAAAACAGTATCTGTGCTTCCCATGTAAATGTCATGTTATTGAT